CAACAGGCACCGAGGGCGCCCCGGTCCCCACACCCAGGTCCTTTGCCCCAAGCATCATTCACGGGTGCCCAAGCTCTCCGAACCCCAACACTCCAGCCATGTTACCGAAAACCCTGGTCTCCCCCTCCCACACCCCAAGGGGGCCCCTCTGGGGCTCGGGGCATCCAATAACCTTGATTGACGCTCCACCACCGCCCTGCGGGCTCCGCTCCCACACCCGCCCCCACTGCCCCAACAGACGTCCGGAACCCCCAAGTCGCGTTGCTCCTGTACTCGTGGTTTATTTCCCCAAGCGTATGTACAGGGTGGCAGGCGCAAGGTTAAAAAACTGGAGCTGAAACGGCCTGGCCACGCGGTCACTGGGTGCAGGGGCCCAGCTGACCGCCCCTGGGCCTGGGCGCTTGGCACTGTCCGACCCGCAGAGGCCCGAGTGTCGGCGGCCCCTCTTCCCTGCCGGAGGCGCTCGCGGCCGCCCGCCCCGGCCCTTCCAGTCACTACAGCCCTCTGCGGAGGGGCGGCGCCCGCAGTCCGTCCCGTCTGCTGCCGCAGGTGGACACGGGTCCCATGTCTACTGTGGTGTCCAGCCCGGAGTCCGGCCACGCGGCCCTGCTCAGAGGACCTGCTCTGTGCTGGAGGCGGAGATGTCCAGGAGCCGCCAGGCGGCGTAGGGGTTGAGCTCGTCCTGGTCCCGGCAGAGCGCCCACACGTAGAGCATGCGCAGCACCTTGTCCTGCGGGGCGGAGGGTGAGGGGCCGCCGGCCAGGCGGCGGGTGGAGCCGCGACGCGACGCTCGGCAGGCCAGGGGAAGGTGTTGGGGCGCCAGCCTGGCTCCCGGCTTGGGAGCAGCGTGGAGGCTGGGTCGGGGGTACAACTTGGAGGTGGTCACACAGGTGTGTGGCCCTCCCCTGCCCTAGGCCCACCTGCAGCCCGGGTGCAAGATGGCTGAGGCGCCCCAACTGCACCCGTCCTCCCCGCTCACTCACCGGGTCGCCTTCGACCACCTCGCCTTTGGGGTTCTTGATCACCATCACCAGCTGGGCCTGGAAGGTGACGATCAGCACGGGCCCCTGCTCCATCATCTTGCCCATGGCTAGCTGCGGGCAGATGCGGGGCCTCAGAACACCCGCAGGCCCCTCCCCGGGAGGTGCAGCGTCCAGCACCTGCCCACGGTCAGCGCCCCACAGCCTGCAGCTCCCGCTGGCCTGTTCCAGGCAGCAATTTCCCGTGAGACTCCCTGACAGCCCAAACCCCGCCGGAGGGGCTGAAACTGCTGAGGACACGCGTGCCCAGGCTCCCGCGGCCCGAGCGCCGCTGCCCGCCCGCAGAGGGCCAGCCCCAGCAGGCCCTGCACACAGCCGGCGGGGGAGGGGAGCTCGCCTTCAGGTCCCACGAGGCAGCCAGGGCAGCGGTGGCAGAGCAGATGACCCGGGCCCACCCCGCCCTGCCCGGTAACAGCTCAGGAGCCCAGGGAGACCCCCGTGCCCACCCCGGGGGCCCAAGAATATTCCAGACATGGGACTATGGGGCCTGGCTGAATGGGTCTTCCCGGGGTGGGGGCTCTCCTTCGGGACGGGACGCAACGCGGGAGGGATCTCCCCAGCTGCGGAGGGCCTGGCCCGGAAGAGGGACTCACGTCAATGTTGTCGATGTCCAGGATGCGGGAGTGGAACTGGAGCCCCAGGGCGCGGGCCTGCTGGATGGGGTGGGCCAGCTGGCTGTAGGTCTGCAAGGAGAGCGTGCGGCTGGCCCTCAGAGGCTGGGTGCAGCCAGAGCCCAGGGCACAGCGCCAGCCCGGGCCGGGCGGGGAGGGACTCCTGCAGGTGGCCAGGCTGCTTTTAGCCGGCTCACACCGCCCCGAAGCTGCACCTGCCCGGGGTGCACGCCAGGAGGGGCAGATGCCGCACGCGCCTCCCTGTCACAGGAACAGCGCCGTGTGGGGACACCCCACCCACGGCACACTGGGGGGGGGCATCGCGGCCCGACACACCCACATTCACCTCCCGGAGTCCCGGCCCGGGGTCAAACACTAGAGGACAGGTGTAGCCGGCCTCAGAGCCGTCTGCGTCCTTGCCGGGCGGCCCCGGCCTCTGCTGGACCGGACGTCCGGGGACACAGCCGCCCCCTCCAGGCCCAGCAGGCAGCCACAATGGAGAGCTCGGGCCGGGCAGCTGGTAGCTGAGGAAGCACCGTGCGGAGCTGCGCCCCGGCCGCGTCCCCAGGGGCAGCGAGCAGCTCTGGTAGACAGGCGGCCGCCGCCTGCGGCCCCACAGGGGAGACGCGAGCACGAGCTCCGAGTGCCGCCTGGTCAGTCACCGTTTGTGCGGGTGTTTAAAAAGCCTCCAGCAGCTTCTCTGCTTCTTCCGAGCGGTGCGCTGGGGACAGGCAGTAGCAGCAGCAGAGATGGAGCTACTCGGCCAGAGAGGGGTGGGGCGGCCCCTCAGCACGGAGCCCCGGCTGGGAGGCGGCCAGCCCCGGCGGACAGCGTGCTCCTGGGCGCAGGGCCTGCCTGGGGCTGGACGGCCGGGCCTCCTCAGGACACCGGGCTCCTCCCCGGGCGGGAAACCCTTCCAGGCCGTCTGCTTCTGAGTCGGGACCTCGCCACGAGAACAGCTGATGACTCAGTCGAGGGGGTGTGGCCGTGCGGCGCCCCCGACCCCCGAGCTGGGCGAGGAGCCCAACCCCGCCAGGGCGGGGTGGCGAGCCAGGCGCGAGAGGCTTCAAACGCCGAACGCCGAGCCGAGCGAGGCCCAGGGCCACGGTCACCGCACACGCGAGGAACAGCCATACACCCCACTGACTGGCCGCCCTTCGGCCCCCTCCCACGGGCCCCCAGCCCGTGTCCCGGCCACCCCAGCCAGCGCGTCCCGAGCCCGTGGCTCAGACCACCCACAAACTGCTGTCCACTCAAAGGCCCCTCGGTGACCTCAGCAGCAGCCCCTAAGACGGGGCCGGTCTCTGGGCAACAGTGACGGCGACAGGAAGGCCCCAGCCCAGGCCACCGGCGGCCCAGGTGGGGAGAGGCTCACTGTGGACCTAGAGCGCGATGGGGCAGGGCCAGCGGCGGCCGGCGGCTGCGGGCTGGGCCGGGAGCCAGTCGGCGCGAGAACCCCGACCAGGCCACCCGAGCAGGTCGCGAAACGGTTTGCCGCTTAGATCTCAGTAGAAAGCAAAGTACTCACAGCTTCATAGCACCAGTCTTTGAGGATGTCGAGCTCTCCAGAGATCATCGCCTGACAAGGGCGGACAGGAGCCGTGAGGCCAGGCGCAGGCAGGCTCCAGGGCCCAGGACCTCCCCCTCCCGCAGGGCCCACCCTGAGGCGTCCACCTCGGTCAGTCACAGTCACAGCCATGGGCCGCAGGGCTCAGGAAGCCAGGCCCCTGCGCACCAGCAGGAATCCAGCCTTCCCGCTGGCGGTGGGAGCCCCAGGGGGAGGAGGGCGCGGCCAGGCAGGCAGGGAGCTAGCTGGGAGTCAGGTGGGGGTGGAGGGATCAGGAGCCCAAATGGGGCAGGGCTCTGTGGTCCCACAAAAGGCCTTGGCCTCAGCCACACGCTGGGGCCGGAGGGCAGAGACAGGACAGAAACGCACCAGCTTCGGGAGAGCTCGCAGAGGGTGGGCTGTGACGGGGCTTAAGGAACAGGACGGGAAAGGACAGTGGGACCCTCGGCCACTGGGATGGCCACGTGCCCTGGCCAGCCCAGGGCACACCTTGAGGCCAAGAGCAGAGGGAGCGCCCAGGAATTGCGGGGCACAGAGAACATGCTGAGGACCCCAGAAACCTCCCCCCAGAGCGGACCGTGTCTGTGGCCGACACAGGAAGTGTCAGAGGGCACCAGCCGCCATACTGGCCTGCGCAGGGCCGAGACTGGCGCGGGGTCAGGCTGGCAGCCGAAGCCTGGAGCAGGCGGCTCCGAGGCACCTCTGCTGCTCCCCTACTTGGGCCCGGGGCAGGGTGGGCAGGCCAAACGCTGGGCAACCGCACAGGCCGCTGCCCGGAGGGCGGGGGGGGGTGATGCCCACCTCCAGGACGTTGGGGATGATGTCGCCCTCGCACTGCCGCAGGAAGCGGTCCTTGTCAAAGGTGGGGTCCACCCGGAGGATCTCCGTGAGCACCTCCGACATCTCTGTCTTCGAGAACAGGCCCCCTGGGGACAGCCAGCGGGGTTAGGGCCCAGGACCCCTCCCTGGGCGGGCAGGGCGGCCGTGTCGCCCACTCACCCAGCACATCCGTGACTTTGTCTGTCAGCGCCCGGGAGGCCCGGATGAAGGCATTGTCGCTCTCATCGTACTTCATCTTCATCTCAAAGAATCCTGGGGGAAATGGGGGGTCAGGGGCCCTTCCAGACCACCTTGCACCCTCCCAGAGGCTCCCTGTGCCCTGAGATCAGCGCTCCACGTTGGCTGGGTGAGCGAGGGGACCTCTCCGAGCCCGCTCGGAGGGCAGAGACCGCGGCTGTGGGCCTGGGGGTGCCATGTGAACTATGAAGGTCACCCACACTGGCCTTGGCCTTCACACGAAAGGCACAGGCAGCTCTCGAGGGCGCCGCAGGAAGGGAGAGGTGCTCGTGCACCGTCCGCGACACCAGCAGGAAATGGCTGTGGGGCCGGAGCGCCGCCCAGCCGAACCCAGAGCCACCCTCCCAGGGGCAGCCGCGCCAGGCGGTGCGGCCACATCCCGCCCAGCCAGGCAGTGGGGCCAGAGTGCCCGCCTGCCCGCCTGGTGAGAGGCACTGCGGGCTCCCTGGGCCTGCTCCCGTCGGGCCGCACCGCGCACTCCCGGGCACCCCACTGACGCGTCTCCTGCTCCAGCCAGTGGGGGCCTGGCTGCCCCGGGGCACGCCGGGTCACATGGCCACTCACGGTTAAACACCACATTGTTGTCCTTGAAGTCTTTCCACTGCTGGTACCACTTGGAGTCCTTATGCAGCACGACCCCCAGGGCCTCCCTGGGGGAGGGACAGGGTGAGGGCTCGCTGCCCTGGGCCTGTCCCCCGCCCTCCCACTACTGTGGCAGTCAGGGCGGCAGCAGGGTCGTGGCCTTTGCCCCCCCCCCACCCGCCTCCTCTTCCCTGTCCCACCACCGCCCCCTCCCCAGACTCACCAGGGACAAGCAGAAGGGAAACGCCTGGGTAGGGCCCCGCGGGCCTCGGAACCCAGGGTGCGGCCTGCTACTCACTCGTTGGCCTCAAATATTTTCTCCTCCTTGATTTTTTCTCCTGCAAACTCCTTCCTTTTCCTGAGACGCTCGGGCCTCCGGTAGGGCCCGGTCTGCCCCAAGACACTCTCGTCAATCTCCTTCTTCACAGTTTCTACCCCCTGGAGAAAAGCAGAGCTGGGCGCGAGGTGGGTTCGTGGGGGCCCCCAACCCCCGACGTTAGCCTGTGCAGCGGAGGTCAGCGAGGGCGTGCTGTGAACCGGCCCGGGCCTCGGTGCTCCCTGCAGCCTGGAGGCCACCGAGGGCCCCCCTGGGGTGGCAACCCAAAGCAGACGTGGGGGAGACAAACAGTACTGAGCCGAGACTCCAGCTGTGCCCCTTCCCCCAAAAAGGGGCAGACAGAGTCTGACCCCCAAGCCCAGAAACCTGACACTGATTCTGCCCAGACTGGGAGATGGAGGAGCAGTTTAAGATGTTCCTCTGCTCCGCCCCACCCCACCCTCTGAGCAGACCCCAAGTCTGCACCACCCTCTCCAAATGGCTAGACGCCGCCCCCCACCCCGGCTGAGCCCCGGCCACCCAAGCCTGTCTCACCTTCTCTGTGCCGCTGAACGCCCCCCCCCGCCCCCCCACCACACAGCGTCCTTCAGCCCCTCAGCACTTTCCCAAGAGCTCGCAGCAGGGTGCACCCCAGCCCCGCCCCGCCCCACCCCGCTGCTCTGGCGCCCTGTCTGCCGCCCCCGGGGGCTGTCTTGACCCTCCCTGGGCCCTTGAGCAGGGGCTCAGACTTCCTCCCAGAGGCCTGAGGTCCGGTGGGGCCCGGCACGCAGTTGGCCGAGCCGTTCCCAGAATGACCGCAGGACCTGGATCTGCCCAGTGTGACAGACGCCGGGGCACGGACCAGCGGGGCAGGACCAAGCGGCCAGAGGTGCTGGCTGCGCGCCCCTGGCTCCCCGCGCCTGGGCCCTGTCAGAGAAAGGCTGCCGTCTGCAGCAGGTGCCCTGCCAGGCCGCCCTGCCGGGGCTGGGCCTGGACACGGGCCCGAGCCCCAGTGCCCACTCACCTGGGACAGGACTTTGAAGGCCGCGGTCTGGCCCAGCTTCTCCCCGCCCTTGGACACGGACTCGGCCGACTGCTTGGCAGTCTTGGCGGCTTCCTCCACGCCTTCCTTGATTTTCCGGCCAAGGTCACTTTTGCTGACCTCATCGAGACTCTACTGAGACAGAGAGGGGTGCTCCTTGCAGCTCCTCACCGCTGCAGCTGGGGCAGCCCCCAGGGCTGGTGCTCGGGGGCACACGCTCAGGACACTGCAGACACCTCAGGGGCGCCGGACTCAGGCTGCCGTCGCGGGGCTGGCCTCTCCCCAGGGGCCGCGGCCCAGAGCCCACAGGGCGGCAGCCGGGGTCTGTGCAACGGTGCGGGCTGGCTCGGACCCCAGCGGAGCAACGCTCTGCCCGTTCTTGTGCCCGGGGAGGCAGAAACAGAGTGGCGGCAACAGAGAGGCGCCCCCGCGCCCCCGGGGGCTCCACCAGCCCCACCCACGCGGGGACCAAGTGACCCTTCTACCTGTAGGCAAGGGAGCCCCTGCTCCCCGCCTCCCCTGCTCAGCCACCGAGCGGACACGCCAGCGCGCTGTCGCCCGTCCGCGTCTCCACTCCCATGTCTTCCTGCCAGCGCCAGTAGCTGCCACGCAGGCTGGCGCTCCCTGCTGGCCGCCCGCGCCTACCCGGCCCCTGGGCCAAGTCACCCTGCCTGCGCCCAGCTCTTCCCGCTGCTTCTCTGGAGAACAGGGCCCCAGGCGGTCACCTCCTTCACGGTGCCTGTGAGCTCGCCCAGCTTCTTCCTTATCACCTCGCTGGTCCGGACCGTTTCCGACTCAATGGTTTTCTGAGGAAAGGGACGTGTCTTTCTGTCACAAGACAGCAGTCACCCGGCAGCCAAAAGTCTGAAGAAGCGTTCTCAGCAGCCCTCCTCCCCTGCCACCCTGCCTCTTTCCCCACCCCAGGGCCTGGCACTGCCCACGGCTGGGCTTGTGGCTATCAGCAGCCGAAGGCCGACAGGCTGGGACCCTCCTGAGCACAGGAGCCCAGACCCCAAGTCTCCCTCTGAGCGGCAGGTACTCAACGGGGCGTCCTGAGGCCCAGGCCCAGGCCCAGAGCGCGGCCTGCCTGTCCTGCCCCTCAGCTGTGTACATCGCACGCCTGGCCGCCAGCCCACCCCAGCCCGCCCTGCCCCCAGAACCTTCCTCCCACCCTCTCCTGAATGAAAGGGGCCACAGAGTCGGGCCCCCTCCAGGGCAGGTGCCCGAGGAGTGAAGGGGGACGCTCGGAGGGAACAAACCTCGCCACGGCCTGCGGGAGGGCAGATGCGGCCGCGGGGTCTTGGCGAAAGAACGTGGCCGCCGGCAGCGGGGGATCTGCCCGCCCGGGCCTGCGGGGAGCCGGCGGCAGGAAAGGACAGCACACCCGCACGAGGCCCACGGCCCCGCCGGTGCTGGGCGGCGCGTCTCAGGCCTGGTTTGGGGGCACTGAGCCCCCGAGGCCAGCGCCGAGTGTGGCGGCCGGGCCCGGGACAAAGGGACTCACGTATTTCCTCCTGGCTTCCTGGAGCGCATCTGACTCCTCCAGCTTCCTGGCTTCGTCGCGGAACTTTTTTATACTTTCTTTCATTTCTTTGTTTTTGGCTAATTCTTGTTTGATGTTATCAAGCAGGCCGGAGAGAAAGCCTTTTCTGTTCCCAGAAGAATAGGACTTAGACTAGAAAACACGTGAAAGAAATGGAGGTTTTCCCGTTTCTGGTGAAGATTTAAGGAGAAGAGCCACCGCCTTTCCGACGAGGAGGAGCTCTGGCAGACCCAGGTGACACGGGCCGACCCCCGCGAGGGGCCGCTCGGGGTGACACGGGCCGACCCCCGCGAGGGGCCGCTCGGGGTGACACGGGCCGACCCCCGCGAGGGGCCGCTCAGCAACAGAAACAGTGCGATACAGTCCGGGAGAACAGCGTGAGTTTACCACGTAGACAAAGATCATATTTCAGTGAAAAGCAGACCAGCGGCCGGGGCTCCGGAGGGGGCCGTGCTGTGGGGAGGGCGGAGGGCGGCCGGGCGCGGGGTGGGGGGGCTGCGTGCCCCCCGGGTTATGCCCAGGCCTATAACCCCGCCAAGGGCAAAGCCCAGCATGCGGCTGGAGGAAAATGCTTCAGTTACTGTGTATCCACCCGGCCCATCCCTGTACCAAACGGACCAGGAGATGTGAAGAGCCAAGGGGAAACTGTCCAGTGGGGGCGGTCTATGGGAACTCTCTGTTCTTGGCCTTCAAATTTTCTGTAACTCTGAAACCATTAAAAACAAAGCAAAAGGCGGTGCCGGTAATGCTGGGCGGCAAGCTGAGCAGGTCGGGGCAAAGGGCAACCCGAGGGGTCGTGGGCTCAGGGGGGAGCTGAGGATGACTCATCGCCCAGAGGCACCAGCCCTGCTCTGCGCTCCCGGGGGCTGGACACTCGCTCCGATGGGTCCAGCTGGGCTGTGCATGAGCCCAGGGCCCAGGGCCTGGCGGACCACTCCTTGTCGGTCCTCAGGACTGAGATCAGAGCGCGCCCACTCGGGTCCCACGGGAAACCTGCTACCGGGCGGCCAGACCCTGGGGCTGAGAGAAAACCCGCGGCTCTGGTCACCGTAGGCGGTGGCACTGCTGTCCAAGACCCAGTGTGGGGTCAGACAGCGCCTCCGAGGGGCCTGCTGCACCACCACAGCCACGGCTCGACATCGGGCTCGGGAGAGAGAGCCCGCGTCAAGGGCTCCGGCACTGCCCAGGCACCTGTGCGGCTGCGTCGGGCGGCGCCATTGGCCAGTTTCAGGGCTCACAGCCTCCCTGGGCCTGTCAAACTAGCCAAAAGCCGCGCCAGGCTGGCCCTGGCAGGCTGCCTCCTCACCCGGACATATCCCAGCCGGCCTTTCTCGGGGGGTCGAGGCTCAAGGTGCAGGGGCTGCATCGCCTGGCAGCCGCTCTGCTGTGCACCCTCAGGCTGGACACCCAGAGGGCACCACGACAGGCCTCTCTGAGGCGCTGTCTGACTCCACACTGGGTCCTGGACAGCAGTGCCACTGCCTACGGTGACCACGGTCTGCGGGGGCAGACAGGGAAAGGGTCGGCGCGAGACTCGGAGGGAAGGGGGTGTGGGCTGTCCAACATGCGGCTCTGGGGAGGGTGGGGCCCACGGTGCTGAGGCCCCAACAGAAGCAGTCACGGGACAGACTGGAGGGCAAAAGCTCTGGAAAATGCCACCAGTGAAGAACAGCATAAACAAAGGGCGAGATGTAGGCCAGGGAAACTGAGTCCCTGGAGACGACAGGTGGCTGCTCACACGCAAGCCTAGCACCCAGAAAAGGGAAGGGCTCTGCACGGGGTGGGGCGGGAAGCAGACTTCAGGCATGCTGACGCTTTCCTGGCCGTACAGCCGACGCACGAGCCAGAAGCCCTAGCCGACAATTCAAGCACTTCTCAGGATGCTAAGAGGACTGGGCGCCTGGGCCCTGTAACTCTGGCAGAGTGCTTGCCAATCAGAGGCCGCTGCAGAGGAGGCAGCTTCCGGCCGTCCTCTCTCCTGTCCACAGGGCCTGGTTTTCCAGGCACCTCCCAGCCCTCTGCGTCCCGAGTCACTCACCAGGGGCAGGTCTCTACGTGGCTGGCAGATCTGATAGGTGCCATGGGGTAGCAGCACTAGGTTGTGGCTGGAAAGAAGCTGGACTCCACTGCCCAGGCATCTCTAATGGGAGAGAAGAGAACGGTCCGCTCAGCAGAGAGGGCGGCGGGGCGGCGGCCCACGACAGGCAGCACTGCCTGTGGGTGCTGCTGGCTCTCATCTCACGGCTGCCGTAGGCTGGACACGCCGCCATTCCCCAGTCTGAGAAGCCAGTAGAGTATGGTGGAGAGAAAAAAAATGCTGGGACCGCAACTCCAGATCCCCTCCTTTCACTTCTGAACTGGGGGAGACCAGATGGGTCCCCGCAAATGCCAACCTATGGAGACGAAAGCTAAATGTGCCAGTCCGACTCCACCCTAGGGTGACAAGAGGCGTCCAGAGCTCTGGTGCTGGTGGCAAGTCCCTCGCAAGCCCGTTCCACTTCCAGCACCAGAAACCCGGGCTTTCAGAGGTAAGAACCGATACTGCCTGCCCCAGGGACGACCCCTGAATAAACCCGGTCTGGGGTGGGCTGCAGGCAGGGCAGCTTACGGGAGCTTTGGAAAAAGGACCAGCTAATTGCACGTGAAAGGCATTTCTTCTCCTACCAAACAACGAACTTCAGCTTCGTGAGGGAAGCGCCTGCGCCGGGCACTGATGTCCATGACTGGACAGAAGGCTCCCTGGGCCTTTGCCACGCCTCCTCTCTCCAGGAAGCTAAGCAAACTCCCGGTTCTTCAGGGAAAACGCTTAAAAAACTTGCTTTACCTCTGCTTGCCTCTCCACTCCCCCGATGCCACTGATTTCGGCAACAGTGGGAGGCTGAAGTGGATGGCCAACTTGGAGAGAAATCCCAGAGACCAAAGCTGTGGTTGGTTCGCCACAGGTCTTGCGCCCAAATCCTAAACTCATCCTCTGAACACAGGCTCCAAAGGCACGCTGCCACTCACTCTCTCAGCCCTGAATTGCACACAACTTTCTCCCACACTGGGCCCCACGGGTATTTCCTTGCTCCACAGTGGGCGGCTCTCGTCAGGCTGACCGCGATGTAGACAGGTCAGCCTCTCCACCAACTCTGACGCTTGCGCAGGCGCTTCACCTGCCGCCCCAGTTTCCCACCTATGCAACAGCGACAGCGGCAACAAGTACTCTTGCCCCCCACAGGCGCTGCGCAGCTTGACTCCCGGGGCCCTCGAGGACCCCCACGCCTTCGCGTGGAGCTGGGACGGGCGGCGCAGGGGAGGCTCTCGGTGGAGGGTCTGGCACAGACGCAGACGGTGACCGTCACGGTTTCTGCCCCCCCCCGGCCCCCGCCCCGCTACTCTTTCACTGGCGCTGCGGTCACCATTCGCTGCCCGCACACGTGCGGTCCGCCCGGCCGGGGCTCCGCGCCGCCGGAAGCCGAGCGCCGCGGCCAGGTTCGGGCGCGCATGGGCCCCACCCTCAGGCCTCGCTCCGGGCACCTGCTCTCGCCCCGGCTGGCCCAACGACCCCACCCCCGGGGAAGGACCGCGGGGACCAAGGGCCTGAGGAGGACGTGGAGGCCGCGGCCCAGCAGCCCCGCGAGGCTCGTCCTCTCAGTCGCTCAAGTCTGCTCACCCTCGGGCGGCGGCACCAGCCTCCTCGCAGAGCCGCCGCCGCCATGTTGAAACATTCCGTGTGACCTTCCCGCGGCGCGGCCCGATGGCGTCATCTGCCGCGTCAGCTGGCGCAGCTAGGGCCTGGGAAAAGCGGGAGCTAGGGGCGGAGCCTCGGAGAAGCAGAGGCCTATGATTGGGCATTCCGGCCGGCTGGGGGCGGGACTTCTGGGAGACAGCGATCTATGGTTGGATGAGACTGAGATGGGGTGGGGTCTGGGGACGCGGGGGTGGACTCGAGGGGCGCTGGGGCGCGCGGGCGCACGGACCCTTTCAGTGAGGTTCCGACTGAGCCTGGAGGATCGGCCCGTTCAGAGTGACTCTGGCTTTCGCGGCATTGACTGACAGTGACGGAAAGGGCTTCTCCAAAACCACGAACGAATTAGCCCATTTTTGTGGGCCCAGAACTGAAAGGGAGACTTGAGGCCAGGCTGGGGACGGGCCAGTGCTCCGCTGACCAGCGTGGGTCTGCGCGCTTTGCCCCCAGCAGCTCAGGATCGTTCAGCACCTGGAGCCTGCGTTCCTTTAGAGAATGCCGCCGCCACGTGGCGGTGCCTTGGCGCGCGCAAGCAGTCCACGGCTGGGCAGCGGTGGCCGAGCGTCCCCTGGGGAAGTTAATGAATGTTGGGGTCTGCCCCTTTGAAGCCCTCTGTATTATTAAACTGCGATCAGGTCTGTTCACTGTCCAATGCCCAGGAAGGCAATGTCCACTCCTTGGCTTCAAGCTGGAGCAGCTGTGTCCTCTGGCCCTCGGACGTTCGCCTGCAAGGTGGAAGCAGTGAGGGTTTGGGGCTCGTTTGCCGTCTTTGCTCCGAAAGCAACAGACTAGTTAAAAGCAGTGGGGTCGGGTTTGTCACTAAGAAGACGGGGTTCTTTGGAAACGGACACCCAGAGTGCTGTCCAATGAGCCCATCAGTGGCCCAGAAGTAAAGTGCAGCTCCTTTTGGCCCCACATCTTGGTGAGGCCGCCATGGCCGCCGCCAGCTCCCAGCCTCACCGTGCCACCCGAGGGCCCGGTGGGCAAAACGGCCGCCCTGGCCAAGGCCAAGTCGCGGCCCAAAGGCACAGCTCCGGACAAGCGCAGACCGCATCTCCAACACAGCCACGGAGGGCAGGCCCAGACGGTCCCGACTCTAAGCTGTGCCCAGCCCACGGGGGCGAGCCCGCGGCTGAAGAGTCATGGCTCCGCGGCGAGGGCGAGGGGCTCCTTAGTAAAGGACTCGCTGACCGGGTTCGAAGCACGGAGTCGAGCAATTTTACGGCAGAAACGCCGAGACAGACTCCCCGGCTGCAGTGATGACGCCAGGACACTGCATTTTGGGCGGAAATCTATATAGAAGAAAAAGTAAAGGAAGGAAGACCTCAAAGAAGACTCCTCAGCGATTCCAAGGCGGGACCCCAGGGCGCAGCAGACCCCTCCTGTCTCCCGCTGCTCCCCTCAGCAGTGTGTTTCAGCTGACCTGTCTGTCCTGCTCCCCCCTATGTCTCTGGTGCATCCTCACACCTGCACCCCAGTTCTTATGTGCACAAACACACCCCCTCTTATTTGTAGGGGGACAAGGGCTCTCACGAATGATGAAGATGAATGTCTTCTAAGACTGAACCAACCGCATCCTCAAGTTGGCCGACTTTACAACGGCCTCTGACTGCTTCGCACCACCAGGCTGCAGTTTTGCCCAGACGGTTCCCACGCGCCCGCAGCTGCCGCCCAGGTGTGGGCTGTGGCTCTGGGCCGAGCTGTTTGCTGGCCTGGTTAAGGGCTTGACTGTTCCGGATGGCAGAGGTGGGAGTGTGTCTACAGGCTGGGCTGCTGGGGAGGATGAGGTGATGAGGCCCACGGCAGGGAGCCGGGAGAGGCCGTGGGAGCAGCTGGGTTCAAGGCCAAAATCGAGCTGAGCTTGGGGGTTCTGGGAAGGAACCCACTTCTCGGTCCCTTCAGGCTGTCGAAAGAACGACGACAACTGCTTGTAGATGTTGCGCTGATAATCCGCTTCCTTGCTGGTGGTTGGGGGGGGCTGCTATCTGTGGGCCCCCTGGCCCCCCTCTGCAAATGGTCCCTCCACTTTTACGCCTGCATTGGTGCCCCCAAGCCGTGCTGCCGGGGGGTGTGGCAGAAGCAGGGGTGCTTGGGGGCCTGGTGATTCCCTGCCGGGGGGCGGCCCAGTGTATAAACCGGGGCGTGGGCTGAGGCAGTGGCCCCTAACCCCACACAGGTCTGAGGGCTTGCTGGAAGGTGGGGCCCAACCAGGCAGCTCAAGGAAGGGGGGGAGCTGGCAGTCAGGACGGGGGTGGGGGGGTGAGGGGGGAGGGGAGGCCTCACCTTTGGGCCTCGTGTGCTTTGAACCGGGCACATTACCGTGAAAGACAAACATGGGGTGTGGGGAGCTAGAGCTGAGGGGCGTGGGATGGGCGGCACATGCCTGGTGCCGGAGCTGGGTCAGCAGTGGCCCGAGGGGACACTTTGTCACATGTCCCACCTGACACAAATTGATTTATGTATGTATAGAACTGGGGTACAGGCCAGAAGCGCGGGAGCAGGGGTGAGAGGCTTCCCCAGAGACAGAGTGGGGAGCAGAAGAGGTGGTACGCTTTAAAGCCCCCGTTTATCGCTACTTGTGGGGGCGCGGCCTGCAGGACAGCCGCTAGGAGAGCGGCCAGCTGCAGCCCGAGAGGGAGGAGTGGGCCTCACACTCTGGCCTGACGAGGCGCAGACTGTCAGGAGGCGGGGTGGGGGGGCGCCGCGCGGGTGGGGTGCGCACAGTGCTGCCTGCGGGGAGGAGTGGGCGAGTCGGCCGCAGCTTGGGATGGGCTGGTTTGAGCCACTTCCGCGGGCCCTGGGCGCTGGCCCTGGTGACCAGGGCGGGCTGACGGGCTCGGAGCGTCGTAAAGGAGGGCGCTGGAGGTCTCGGGCCCGCTGTCCGCCAGCACCAGCTCGCCTGCAGGCCGGGCCGTGCCCAGCTCCTGGCCCCTCCTGCGGGACGGTGGGCCGAGCTCCACCCCTCCCTCAGGATGCGGCTTGCAGGACACAGATGAAGGGTTTTGATTCCCACACCAAAACCTGGGTTCGGTGCAGGCCCTGACCCACGCACGTGGCCTCGGTGCAGGCCCTGACCCACGCATGTGGCCAGGCAGAGCTGGCAGGAAGCAGCACACCGCCTCTGCCCCCCAACTTCCCATGCCTGACCGAACCCCAAAGCAGACAGTCGAGAGGCAGAGCGCAGACAGGCCTCTACTTAGGGGCCGGGAGGCCTCTATGAAGATTCTCCAGTACTGAGCGGCGTTTGCCAACAGGCCGCGCTTCGCTTTGGGGTGTCAGGTGAGTGCAGAGCAGCTGGGGGCCCTCCTGACCAGGCCCTGAGGGCAGTGAGGTCCCTGCGGAGCACCCCCAACGGCTGAGACAGCCTCACGTCCCCCGTTCCCAGCCCCTTGGAACTCCTGTGAGCTCACTGTGGAGCCGCCAAAGGCGCCCTGCGGCCCGCCCTCCGCTGTACCCCGAACGTGCACGGGGGCCCTCGGTGTTCTTTTGGACCCGAGTGGGGTAAGACGGGCCCAGCACCAGGCCAAGCAGGTGCAAGTGTCACCTCCGGGGCTGTTGCTTGCCAGAGCTCAGGGTCCCTGACCCACCACCTGCCCTGCTCCCTGGGGCACCAGGCCGGGGCAAGGAACAAGGTGGGCGCACGGGGCCCTCACGCCCACGTCACAAGCAGCTCTCCGGACCACACTGTGCGTACGACTTTGGGGTGCTGCAGGGCCGCAGCCCCTTCACCTTGAAGGAACGATGAGAACGGCCTGTACTGCGGCTTCTGTGCAAGAGCCCCCCAGCCCGCCCCATCGGTGTTCGGCCTCTTAGGATCCGACATTCTGGGGTGAAGGGGAGTTGCCTGTTCCAGGCAAGAGATGGAGAAGAGGGAGGCGAAGATTCCATCAAAACACACCCCACTCACGGCAGCCTGGAAGCCGCCTGCGTCGCCCGGGGCTCCGGGGACGCAGGCTCAGGCCGGCCCGCCCAAGTGGGGCGCAGGGTCTAACGGGGCCCTGGGCGCGGGCACCTCGGGCGGAGGAGCGCTGCTTGAGGCCCAGGCGGGCGGCGCCGCGATGGCCGCCAGTAGCTGCAGACCTGAGTGCAGGAGCGTCCCGGAGGCCCCAGGAGCCCCCGGGAAGGCCCCCGGCCAGGAGGCGCACGCCTGGAGCCCTCTGCCGAGCGGGGAGCCCTGTCCCCAGGCGCTGCAGGCCGCCTCCCTAGGGCTGACACGGGTGGGCGGCCTGAGGCCTCCCAGAGGCCGTGGGCCACCCACACCTGGAGAGGGCGAGCTGGACACTGAACAAGGAGCACAGAGAGGGGCTCGGCAGTGCGGGGCGGCGGCGCCACGGCCTCGGCCGGCCACGGGTCCAGAGTGACTTCTGCCAGGATGTCCCTGACCCGAGTCGTGGGCGCTGTGAGCTCACCCAGCGGGCAGAGCGGAGCCGGGAGCTGGTGGCTGTGCCCGGCACCCGGATGGCGGGCGGCACCGAGGCCCAGGCATGTCCTGCCTCTGGGGAGCCGCCCTCGCCCCCCATCTTCTCATCACCAGCTTGGCTCTGTGACATCTGAAATGGCCACAGGGCTCGGAGGTGGGGAGCAGGAAACCCAGGGGCAGCGGGGCCCGGACAGGGGCCTCTGGGCCTGGGGCAGGGTGGGGCGGGGCAGCCACTGTCGCCAGGGTCCAGTCTTCGCTCTAGGCGGGCTGTCCAGGGTGACCCGCCCCGCGGCAAGGCGAGTGTGGCGGAGCAGCCACGCCGGCTGGGAGGAGGCCGGCGGGCACCTTCTACTCAGCTCTGGCTGTGCCAGTCACACACCATCACCCCTACACCACCACATCTCAGTGATCCCACATTTATTACCAGAACATCACAGAATTCCAGTCATAGTTAACATACAGCGTCTAACACAGACCTGATACCTGTGAAAAGAACGGAGCATCCGACAGCTCAGTGCTTTGGGGTCAAACACCCGAACCAACACGCTGTACTTCAAAAATACGCTTTGAGAGCTTTGGAAACTGAATTAAAATGTCTACACAGCTATGAACAATTGTTTAATAAAACTTTTTCATGTTTCCATTACATGTAAATATATCAATTTGGCATCTCTATAAAAACTCTGAAAATGGTGCAAAAGTTTCATTCTCTTTGAGAAAGCCATTGACAAAAAATATTCACACTTCACTAAAATTTTGAAAAATGGTCTTCTTTCAAAGCTTCTTTATTAATCGGAAATCTTCTGGATTATCAAAATCTAGGTTTGCTTTTTCCTCCTAAAACACTAAAGAACATTTATTCACAAGATTAAAAAGGCCAATGTGGAGATGGAAAACTGAGAAGGGCTGTTTTTTCCTGAAAATAATGTAAAAAAAGCTAGTTACATGAGCATCCTCAAAAGAACACAATGGGATTCATTTTATTGTTGACTTTTGGACAGCAGTGTCATACTTTATTGAAAACAAACCCATGTAAAAACAAAGTTAAAATGAAAAATGGTACCTGAAAAATAAATTACTTTATATAAAACAAATCAATAACTTAAAACACACTAACATACAGACGTCTACCCGCCTCCTGCACAACACGGGATGGTGGCGAGCCCCTGGCCGTCGCTGCAGAGACCGTGACCGCAGAGGCGGCGGCCCGATGCGCCTGCCCTCCGGGGGCAGGAACGGCCCTTCTGGCCAGGCGGCTGCCAGCCCTGCGGGGCTTGCAGGGGCCTTTCATGCTAACGACCAAAAGCAAAACTGAATTATGTCACCGCAGGTTGTGGGAAATAGATGGTACAATCACTGGGGTCCGAGGCAAGGCGGGCTTGGAGACGGCCGGTCGGCCAGGGCGCGGCGGCCAGGGCAGACCTGGGGAGCCCCCTCGGGAGATTTCCCGAGGCGCTGCCTCAGGTCCCAGAAGATGCCGTACATCCTGGGAAGGAGAAGGACAGTGTCAGGCAAGGGCTGGGCGGGGCTCGGGGCTCGGGAAGAGGCCCTGGCAGTTGATTCTCGCTCCCCTTTCTCCAGCCCGGTGGCTGCAACGCGCACGGACAAGGTAAAATCTGGCTGAATCAGACACAAACAGGAGCAGCTGGACGACGTCCACTTTGAACGTGAAGCCCAACGGTGGGCGGGGTGAACACCTTCCAGGCCAGTGACTCCCTGGGATGCAGGCCAGGCAGGTGTTGCCAAGAGCTGTCCGGGGCTCCTCTACTTGCCGGCTCCGGCAGGGCCAGCCCCGCCCGCCAGCGGCCGGCTCCAGGCGCCGGGTCTGAGCGCAGGTGGCGCGGGCCGGGGGCGGGCTGCCAGCACGACGCCAAGCGTGGATGCTGAAGGTTAAGGCAGCTGCCCTTGGCAAGGGAGACTCAGCGCCGGGAGCAAGGAGCTGGAACCCACCTGCGCCACCTGCCAGGCCAAGCAAGCCCCTTTCAGCTACTCTGGCCAGATGGAGTGGGGACATCTCAGTCACAGAATGACCCAGAAACACAGCCAGAGCAGAGAACCGGGGCCAGGCATGTCACACCGGAGGCGAAGGCCAGGGGGAAAAACGGACAATTCAAACTGGAATCAGGTTCACAAATGTGGAGCTGCTTAGCACACAGCTACGAGAGGAAGCTATACAGGCCAAAAGAGAATCAACCCAAGCCTCTTTGGTATACAGTTACCAAACCAAACTTTTGATAAACTAACATTATCTACTCTTCCTTCTTTTCATCAAAATTCCTAAATAAAAGGAGGGCATTCATTTTGCGAAATACAGTATGATTAATCGATGTAAAAATTTTAAATGTCCCTTTTGTACTGTAACTTAGGAAAAAAAAAAACAACCAGGATCCTCCTTCACAAACAAGCCTTGAGAAGAGGGAACAAGCTCTCTGGCCATGGGGCCACAGGGCCTCGGCCTCCTCGGGAGTGACCCTGCTTCCAGGACTGCCATCTCAGAAGCTAAATCCTTCCACACTTGCAAACTACAACTCCCAAAGACATGAATTGGGTTTTGAGCTGAAAGGCTGTTCAGAGAGAGATCACGTCAAATGAGAATCGTGCTGAACCAAGAAACTTCAAAGGTAACTTTCAAAGGTCCCCAAGTCCTTCCTATCTCACTCTCCCTGCGCCAGCGTCAGAGAATCGCTGCGACACTAGGGAAGGGAGGAGGGAGGAGCAGGCTGCCGGCTGCAGCCCACGGTCGTGTCAGTTTACATCAGGGCAGAGCTCTGCAAGAAACTGAGCGCTAGCAAAGCCGGCGGGAACGTCTGCCGACGAGGAGACGCAGAAGGTGGCATCTCCCCTTCGGGAAGACACCGGCGCAAAGCTGCCCCCACCCGAAAGGTCTGTCTATTCTGGTCCCAGGGTGAGGAGCTCTATGGGGTGGCGAGAAGGGGGACCGGCTTGCGTTGAATGCAGGCAAGGGCCTTGGTGCTAGGAAGAGGCACACACCCAGGCTCTGACTTGGGTCTGGACACTTCTGGGGGAGGAAACGGCTCCTCATGGCACTTGGCCAACTTGCAAGACAAGGCCTCAAAGTATGAATTTGGCCTTTTGTGGGAAAAGAATATGGCAACATCTTAGGTTTGTGAGGGCACCGCACACAGCTGGCGGCGCCTTCATGAACCAGCAGGGAAACGGGGCAGAGCGGGCAGCCTCAAGTGGTCCAAGGGCTTGTCAGGACACCAGCCCGCTCTGGAGAAGGCTGTGCCTAGCAGTCAGCACCTCTGCTTACGTAATGCACAAGTAAAGAAACACACAGACAGATAATGCCACAATTCCATGATACTGGTAACTAAAAAGCAGCCCATCACTGCGCGTTTTAGCCTCAGACACAGCAAGGCGAAAAACCGCAGCTGCTGGCCTGTTCTTGATTCTCTCACGACACTAGTTTTTTATAAAAATCTGATCCTGTCCCGAGGAGCTGCCCCGAGACGCCCCCGGCCTGAGCAGGCCCGCTCCTGCGCCTTCCTGCTGGCTCCCCCATCCTGAAAAAGCACCACCTATGACCGCACAACCTCGCGTCACAGATCTGTACATGCTTTGTCTTGAGGCAAGTATTTATTTCTTAAGCTCTTACAAGTCCTCCCTGAATGTTGGATCATCTGTACCTTACCTAGCCAAAAAGAAAGAAAAGGTAAAATAAAAAACAAAACAAAATTCGAGCAAAACAAAATCAAATTTAATGGTCTTAAATGCAAAAGTAAAAACAAACAAAAAACACAAAAAAGCAAAAGAAAATTAACAGAACAGAACAACCCAAAATGTCAAGGCAGTTATGAAGAGAACTTCGAGGGTTAATCTTTCAAACTACAAATCAAAGGTTTTTGTTAATAGATAACTGGCAGGAAGTAAGTACTTTTCTGCTGAGTGTTCATACGAAAGCAAAGTTTCAAAACAAAATCCGACTAAAATAGAAAAAAGTCTAGCACTCACGAGAAGGGATGCGAGAAATACAATGCTCAAATGTTTATGAGTTATTAAAAAATAGAGCTATCGTACGCATTCAAGCTGTGTGAAATGCTCTTGGGAACCAGAGAAATCGTCGTGAACACCAGCACCCGAAGTGGGGGCACTGTGCATGCAACGTGTGGACAGAAATCTGGGAGGTCGGCGGGCGACTCGTCTGCAGGTGGGCCTGGAGCTTAGGGCTGACTCTGGAATATACTGGAGTTTCCTGGAAACTCTTTGGTCCGTTCCTATGGGTGCCGGGGCTGACCAAACACGTCTGTGTCCAGCGGAGGGCCCAGCCCGGCGCGAGGCCCCCTCCTGGCGGCGACCCACACGGGGCGGGCTGCTGCCACTACCAGGGCCGCTCGGCAGAGCCCGGGGCTGAGCGAGCAGGAGGTGGCAATGGGGCCTGCTCAGCAGAGCAACTTCCTGTCAGCCAAAGCGTAAATCGCTCAAAACGTGAAGCGGTTGAGAAAACGCACACTCAGCATCTGTCTAACAGCTTTAGTTGAAAAACTAAAACTAAAAGATAATTTCTTTTTTATCCAGCTTGTGGAGACATCGCATGAAACGAGCGTTAGACAGTCTTAGACGTTAAAGCATGCTTCAGGTTCACCACCACCCCAAGGGACTGGTTAGTCAACGCAGTCTACTTAGATTTCTGTTTAATATATATTTTAAAGGAAATAACTTAAGAAACTTAAAATTGGTCTAACATTGTGGGATTTCAAACATTTGAACATGTCGGTTGCATCCCAGAGTATAAAAACCTTTTCACTTCTCATTTAGACTAAGACAAACACTTGTGAAAATTGGCGCAAAATGAGTCGTACACTAACAAAAAGGGGTCACCTCTTCACTCTTAATGATCTATTCCGTACAAAAAAGCATGAGCGAGTTATTTGTGGGACTTGTTGGTTTTGAAGGAAACCTGCAAGATTTTGTCCCCCAGGCGGTAGCCGTTCAGACTTGCTATGGCCATCGCCGCTTCTTCATAGTTTGTCATGGTCACAAAGCCAAAGCCTTTGCACTTGTTGGTGTTGAAGTCGCGAATCACTTTCACATTGGTGACCGCGCCGAAGGGGCCAAACATCTGCCAGAGGATTCCCTCATCGGCGTCTTGGCCGAGGTTGTAGATGAAGATGCACCAGCCCGAAGAAGCGTTGCCTGGGACATTGACGCCAGAAAGCCCACTCATGTGATCTACACCCATAGGGGAGAACCTAGCGGACAGAGAGCACAGCGTTCAGGTCGCGTCCAGGCAGGCCAGCGCGCCGAGGGGGCCGGGCCGGTGCCCCGTGAGCCACAGCGGGCCCACCTGCACCGAGGGGAGTTCAGAGTCCGCCTGGGGCGGGCGGCTCACAGCTCTGAGGACACTGGCTGCCTGTCGAGCGAGGGGAGGCCTGGCCTGGACCCAGCTTCCCTCCCTCGTCCCGCCATGAGGGCGACAGCTCAGTCACCCAGGGCCTGCCGCACTTCAAACAGTGGCCGTTCTCCATGTCCTCCCAACCAAACCCCTCCTGCCCTGATACTCCAGGTCTCTCTCTGCATGGGGGATGAGTGTGTGGGGGAGTAGAGCAGGGCTGGACCTTTTTCTTTTTCCAAATTTGGACCCCCCCCCCCCGCCTCCTCACGCCCTCCCTCTCTGAGGGCTCAATCAAGCAGTGTCTGGTAACAGCACTGCAGGGCACGAGAAAACTCCTCCCTGCGGCTCCAGGCGACCTACCGCTGCTAACACCCCACAGAGTGTGACTGAACGTCAAGTTCTACAAACCTCACCCAGATGTGGGCAACGCTTTCCAAAGTGACACATCCAAACTCATGTTTACGTCAAACCCATGTCCACAAGTGTGTACACGTGCAATGAAAAGGGAGGTGATAAAGTCATGGCCAAAGCATGTGGTTCATGGGTTCATGGGTTAGAGAAGTAGCAGCCTCAGGGTTGACTTAAGAACACCCGAGGACGGTGCCGCACCTGTGAGGCCACACGGTGTAGCAGGCTTTACTGTCGCCTAAATAAAACTGGTTCTGAGCTGTGGGGCTGACTCCGGGTAAGGGTGATCAAGGGGTACCCTCAAGTGCCATCTGGCAGGCTCGCTTTCTTGACAGACCAAGAGCCAGGTAAGCAGCTCCAGGGACCATCCACTGACCAAGGGTTACTTTCAAAGCAAAGATGGAAGAGTCGGGTGGTCACGACAGGGAGCCCCGGGATCACTGCGCGGGGGGGAAAGGCAGCCTGTCCCTGTGTGACATGAAGTCAAGCGGGCTTTCCACGGTCGGCGGGCAAGGCGGTTCCCAGGACCGCCCTCCGCAGGCTCCACAGGCTGCTGTCTCGAGCCTCTCTCCCGCCCACCGTGGGGTCGTGGATGCATCACTATTTCAACGTAGCTACTATGCTGACGATAATCTGAGGAAAATTACCTACTGCCTACCGAGAATGTCTCTCACTCATACTCATTATTTCTGGCTGGCTCTTCTGCTAACTGGAGGCCATTTCTTCCTCTTGGCTGTTAGGGGGTTTCCGGCACCACTGTGGCTCTGATGGCACAGGAGGTCTGACCCTCCCTCAGTTGGGTCAGAAACGACCGCAAGCCCTGCCCCTCGGGGCCCCCACTCTCTCTCAGTGTGCCTTCCTGCGCTGCGGCTTTGATCCTCCCTCCCGTCTCATTTGCCTCATTCCCTTGTTCCTGTGGCCAAAGGCTCCCCTCTCCTCCTCCAACCTTCCCTGGCTTTCCAGTCACCACGGAACGCTGCTGTCCACACATATGGCGAACCAGGGGTGACATTTCCCGCCCTTTGTCTCTAAACGAGAAACTTCAGTGAGGAGCGGCCAGCTCTGGAAGGTGAGCCAAGCGAGGAACCCTGGCTTGCTAGACTGTGACAGTGGTTCCTGGCAAAGCAGCATGTGTGGAACAGGCAGGGCCCACCCCTCACTGTGTGCAGCAAGACAGGAAGCCTGGAAAGTCGACCCCATAGACCTCATGCCATGTCTTAGTTCTGGTGAAAACAAAACAGAAAAGGCCCTGAATCGGGATCTCTGCTCTTCCTGAGGCCACACACGCCTGGTTTTGGAGTCCGAGTTACTAATTCCAAATGTCTGCTTTATTGGAACAGAATTAGTTTCAGTGGGGAACGACTAGGAGACTTCAGCCTGAGGACGGAACTTCGCACAGAAGGCACAGAACGGCCACCACAGGGCTGCCGGCAGGGAGGCGCAGACAGCGCTGCTGGCGAAATGTCTGAGCCCTGCCCACAGCTGGGGCACAGCGCTGGCCCGCGAGCACTCCCAGGCTACATGTCCCCTCCCCGTCCTCCATAAGCTCACGCCCACCCCGCTCCCCTAGGCACCGACAGGACCGGCCCTTTCTCTCCTGGGGCTGGACACGGCGGGGTGGCGAGCACTAGCACTCACCCCTGCAGGGGGTGGCAGGGGTGACGAGGACACCAGCTGAAGAGGACACTCACACAGGCACCTCCCTGCTGGATTGTGGGTGCGGACAGGGAGACCTCCTGACGGCCAGTGCTGGACACGAGCAGACCAGCAGTCCTGGCTCACCTGCGGGGCATAGCGGGTGTGGGCAGCTGCACGCCCGGGCCCCCGACCCACCTGAATCTCTGCGCCTGGTGGTGCACGGGGCCCCCGAACCGCCTCGCAGGCGAGTGGTAGAGCTGGGAGAGCAGAGCCACGTTTTTGTTCTGGTTGGGGTTGGCCGCGAACTTCACTGTGATGGGCTCAGAGGAACCTGGGGGTTTATGACCATTGAAACTGGTAATTGCCTCTTCTGCTTCCGACCGTTTGTCAAACCGGATAAACGCAACCCCTCTGGACAAACCTTTTTAACAAACCAACAGAAATGTAGTTAGGGGAGAAGATGCGCGGATTTTTAAAACTGAAAAGCAAAAGTCAAGTCAGTCTGGTTCAGATTGGATGCTTGGTTAATGAAATAAAAAATAAACCTAAATGTTAAAAACAAACGAAGAATTAAAAAACAGACAAAGATGTAATAAGGTTACGATTTCAGATGTCAGAGGTGAAGCCGCGACTTCACTGTCCGGGCGCCCACAGGCTTTCTGGTGACCGACAGCCCAAACAGATACCCCGGATGCCTTTTCTGAGCAAAGCCATGTTAGGACAGCTCACCCCCACCGTCACCCTTTCAAAGCCGGGGGCCCACCCCAAGTGTGGATGTGGAACCTCAGGAGCGTGCTGAGGAACAGGGGCGTGAGGGCTGGGCCTGCAGAACACTCTCTGCCAGAGTGGCGGCTGCTGCCTGGCAGGGCCGGCGTGACCGAAGATCGGCGCAGGGCCTGCCCCGGGCTCACTGGTGGTTCAGCGTCCAGCTTTAGCCCAGAGCCCTGAGAGCCATCTCAGCAGACAGCTCTTCCTGTTGTTGCCACCCCACTTACCTCTTGTTAGGCCACTGTGAGGGCCTGAGACTGTCTGTGGTCCCCCCACCCCCAAGGGCCCTCAGAATGAGGTGCAGTAACTGAACTCTCCCCAGGAAACTGCTCACACACACACAGGGGTGATGGTCCCTAGACACAGGCCCCTCCCACCAGGCTAGGGCCCTGCCCTGGGACACTCCATACGTGCTACCTTCCTATGTGGAAAGGCCAGCCCCTCTCCTGCAGAGAAAAATAAGGGAATCAAGTGTGAAGGTCAAAGAACATTGGAGATGTGCCAGCGGAGGGCCAGTCTGAGGGTGAGGTCACTGGCAGGCACCCTTTTGAGGGTCTAACACAGCCAGCTGCCCTGACGCTTGACTGCCAGTCATAGTGTGCCATAACTTGATTTTTCTCCTCTAGACAAAGGCCTTTTTAGCACCGGGTGAAAGACAATGATCAAAGCAGGACAGTCCAGGGCCTTGGGCCAGTAGCCAAGCGAGCACTCTGACTGCCCCCAATGGCCCTACGTCCCACCGCCTCCTCTTGCAGCTTCCCACAGGGTCACCAACTGCCCCACAGCAGGAAAAGGGTGGGGTGTTCCCAGCTGGCTGGGAGGCTGAAGAGGGGCTGAAGAGGAGAGACACAGGTGCACGCTGGGCCCAGAATCCCATGCAGAGGCCTGACTTGGACACCAACGCTGCAGGACCCCTTTCAAGCCAGTCAGAGACCCCCCAGTCTGGGATTCTTTTCTAAAGCACACACCCCAACTCTCCCCTCCTGACCGCCCCCCTCCCTTGCCATCCCCAGCCTTGCCCGGCACAGCACACAGAGAGGCGACACAGTGGCTCCTGACGGCCTCCAGGCCGCCCCCCATCGGTTCCATGATGGCTATTTAAACCAGAAACTACAACTCACACGCCAGAGACACGCTCTGAATCAGTGAGGTCAACTCTGGCAATTCACATGCGTGATGGGGAGATTCTGGAGCCTGAACTCATCATGAATTTCAGCCCAGAAGAAACACCTGCAAACATGCACTTGCAGACGCTGTTTACTCATGGCCAGGGCAGACAGGGGGCTCCAAGAGCCTGCCTTGAGCGCACGCCCCAGGGGTGGCGCCATCCAGGTGCTAGGGACCTGTGGCCGGGCAGAGGGGGCTGCAGGGTGGCTCCCTGCGGGGCTTGTCAATGCCTTTCAGGTGGAAGTTGCTCAGAAGTGAAGAAAGCCCAGGAGAGGCACCTGCACTAGAGCTCAGTGACTGGTCACCGGGAATGTGTGCTCTGAGGGTGTCTGGTCCCCTCTCCTGGTTCTCAGAATTAAGAGCGGGTGAGACCCATCATCTTCAGATGAGTAAAGCAGAAGACTCAGGATCAAAGCGGATAAAGGAGCAATGAAATTTGAAAGAAAGTTACGTTAGGTCAGGAAGTTCGGTTTCTTTAATGCTGAGACGTACACCTTAGAGGGAGACTGACAGCAAACTGCCAGCCACGTGCTCTCTCCTGACCCTTTGGGCTGGGGGTTTCTGTGCCCTCAGAAGGCACAGGGGGTGGCTTCCTCTGGGGCTCTCACCCCCAGGGGCTCACTTCCTACTCTTCATTGCTGCAGGCAGGGCCCCTCCTCTTTCCCTCTCCCTCACCCCCTCTCCGCTCTCCTCCAAGGCCATGGAGATGAGGCCTTTGCTGAAGCGACAGAGGCTGGCAGGGAAGGCTGAAAATTGGGGTCCCATGAACCTCTCTGGAGTTCCTAGCTAACCTGGGAGCAACACTGAGGTGCCCCCGTCAGTCCAGCCTTGCAGAAGCGGGAGGGCCCTGGGGAAGCCAGAGGTGTGGCACTGAGCTTCCGAACAGCAGGCCCCCCTCGGGAGGCACACAGTGGCGCGACGGGGCCGGCAGAGGCGCAGCAGTCCTGTGGGACTGCGCAGCGGCAGGCCACAGAAGCAGAAGGGGGCCGCGCAGTCACCCTCTGGGTCCCTGAGCCCTCACGTCACCTACAGGTGATGCTGGGGACAGACACCTGCACTGATTAAGCCAACTGAACTGTTCTCTCTCACCTGGTGCTTGAAGTAAGGGGCAGCTTTAGGGACCAGGAAGCCATGCTGGTGCAGACCGGGGCGTCTATACCAAGTAAAGGGCAGACTCATGTACCTCACCCCTTATCCCCACCCCAACCCTCCGCCATCCACCTCAGAGCAATGGGGCACCATGAAGATGGTATGGGGGCGTCCCTCCGCACAGCCCCGGTGTCTGAGGCAGGCCATGTCAGGCTAATGCCAGAGACCTGCTCTGGAAACCTTTCTCCTCAGGCCCCTGGGGTACAAGCGCTCCCAACCCTCTCAAGGCACGGCAGGCGGCAACAGGGAGAGCAGGAACCAAGGCGCCAGGCCAAGCTCACGGCTCCCGTGGCCCATTGCTACTCGCAAGCCAGAAGGGCCACATGTCACTCTCTGGGCTCTGTCTGCGGCCTGTGGGCACTGCTGGCCTCAGAAGGCTCACAACTATGACTTCCTATGACCCACTTACCCAGGGTTTTCTAATGCCACAGGCGAGGACAGGTGAGCACACTGTGCAAGATAAACATGACCTCAGGTAACGCCTTGGGCTTCACCGAGCTCAGAACAAGAACCCTCCTTTCTAGGCTGTCGGCAAATCCCCACTTCTACGAGGGCTAGAACTGAGACCGGAGTAGGAGGCCCAAGCTCAGCAGTCCCCAGACAGAGCCATACGCCGGTCTTGGCAAGAGACGTCCCGACCCCACTCTAGGCAGCAGGGCAGGTGGGCCACATGGTCAGCTGGAGGGGAGCCCAACCCCGCCCCCCACCTCCGGGGCTCAGCCAGGGGCACGGGGTTCTGACTTCAGCTGTGTCTGACTGCTTCAAGCAAACCAGAGCCCACACCAAACTCCTGAGCTGAGGTGGCCTGAGAGGGGTCGGGTGGTCATCGAGAGCAACCTACAGCCTCTGGGCTCTGGGAGGGGCATGCATCCAAACCACGGACCAGCACCGCTCACCAGAAAGTAACCCTGCGGCTTCCCGGCTGACAGTGGGGGCGGCACCATCCATCTACCTGCACCCGGCCAGGCAGGGACACTCAGAGGTCTAAGGGAACGTGCCAGAATTTCTTGGCATGTTCACCTTAAAATGGTAGTCTCGTCCAGTCTTCTAGCAAGTGTACCTTTTCAGGCTCATGAAACGAAAGCAGGCGTGCCCTCACTCCAACCATGTGCTCAGCTGAGGTGCCAGCACCACCTAACCCTCAGCCACCCTCGGCGAAAGGCTCGACGCGAGCCCGCTATACCTGTGGTCTGATCCACAAGGACCCGGGAGTTGATGATTCGCCCGAACCTCGAGAACATGTCCTCCACGTCCTTCTGGGTCATGGTCCTCGGGAGCCCGCTGATGTACAGGTTGGCATCTTTGATGACCTCTGAGCTGGGGCGAGCATAGGACACCTTGAAAACAAAACCACTTTCTGGGGTTAGGGCAGGTGTGTGGCCAAGGCAGGATGGTAACTTCCAGGTGGGAAAAGTCAACTCTGTGCTAAGAGACCCTAACCTGGATCCCTGAAGAGAGACATTTTCCCTTTTCGCAGTCAAAGGGCTGTGTGCCCAGAGCTGGCCGACGGCAGGGTTGGGCTTAGTCCAGCTGCCTGCCCCGGCCATGCAGGGGGTTCCTCAGTGGGCTGGCATGCCTGGGCTGGGTAAGGGGCGTGTCCGGACTGGGAGGCCCCACGAGGTGGTGGCCACAGACACTGAGTGTTGCAGGGGGCAGCTCGTCCCCCTCCATAGGCAAGCTGGCTGTGAGGACCCATGCGGGGCCTGTGTGTTGGGGAAGTCCAGCTGTGTCCGGTACCCGCGTGTGCGGTACTAAGGAACCCCCCCCCTTCTGAGTTTTGGTTTTGCAGAGTCAAAGCAAGTCTGACAGGAGCCTGTGCACCGGCTTAGGGAGGTGCGCGGCGCACGGTGACGGAAAGGTGCCGGAAACCTTTCACAGGCTCACGGCTCCAGGGACCTGCAGTCCTGGAGGAGGGACCAACATCACGCCTTGGGAGCCCTCAGGGGCATGGGATTCCCACACACCAGAGCCAGAAGCACATCAGGATGGGAGATGGAGGAAGAGGAGGGGAAGTGTGCGTTCTGGTGGGTGGGGCTGGGACCTGTGCAGAATATTCTCTCTGAGGTCAGAGGTCAGCCTCGCAGGTGTCCCAAGCCACTTGAGCACACAGAAGGGGGTGTTCTCAGCCTGTGCTTGGCCTGGCAAGGCGGGCAGGGGTGTTGCTGTACACACTTGAGTCCACAAACAGTCCTTCATCCATGTACTCGCAGCCCCTCAAATATTGGGGGGTAGGGGAGCGGCGGCACCAGTAACATTCCGCCTTGGCCAGCGGAGCGCTACACAGCTCTGGAAGCTGAGGGTGAAACGAGGTGCGGGGGGCGGTCAGAGTCCAGCTCTGCCTGCAGCCGAGGCGGGCTCGTGGAGATGGGCACCAAAGGGGAGGAACAGAAACAACGCTGACCGGGAGGCCATAGGGGCTGCCAGGTTTTGTCAGGGACGGGGGCCGCAGGCAACAGTGCTGCACGCGTCTGACACACCCTAGGAACTCCCCCGTGCTGTGTCCAGGCCCGAGGCCCTGAGGCCAGGTATAAAGTGAGAGACCTTTGGGGACACTTCAGGGTCCCTCCGTGGTTTGTTCAAGGCTGGGACGACCCAGTACTGTCCCGAGAGGCTGCCCAGGCCTGCGGGGCCTCCGGCCAGTTCTCTTCACTTTGCGTCTGGTCCGTGGGGCTTAGTCATGCTGCTCGACTTCCAAAGGATGTGGCCCCTCTCTCTCTCACAAAATTTAAAAATCCAAGTCTATGTCAACTAGGGCACAGCACACCCTACTAAACTCTTGCCAGAGGGTGTCACCCTAATTCTTTGCCACTCAATTTTACCGAAAGCCCCAGTGATGGGCACTGAATTCTGGGTCTGATGGCAGCAAGAAGGCAGGCCCACAAGGCCTGGGCATTCTGTGCTTTCCAGGACCTGGCTGGGCCCACAGGGTGTGGCTGGCGTCTGGGACCGCTGCCTGGTCCTTGCAGGTATGTCTGGAAAGGGTTGTACTTGGAGTCTGTTCTTGCTTATTATTTATTAAAAGAGCTTTTTATTTATGCATACAAGAGCTGGGGTACAGGCCAGAGGTATGTGGAGGGGGGGACAGCGGAGGGGGTGGTGAGAGGACTCACCAGAGACAGCGGGGAGCAGAACAGGCAGATGTACTGGAACACACTGCTGAAGGGAGCAGTGGGGAGACGGGAGACAGGAGGCTGCTGCGCCCTGTGGGTCGCTCCCTGACCGGGGATCAAACTCTTGCTGCAGTGGCTGTGGAGAGCTTCACAGTGCTGAGACTTAATCTGCACCACAAGGGAGGTCCCTGCCCTTGACTGCTGATGAAAGGCACCAGGGTAAGTGCATTCTCCAACTCTGAATCCAACTGTGAACAGTGAAGGGGTGGCACTGATTGTCCCCAAGGAAGACACCTGAAGGTGTCTTCAAGCGCCAGGTGATTACTGCAGCTCGCCTCAGTCACTGTCAAGTTCAGAGTTCTATCAGAACCCAGAGAGAGAGCACCACAGCACCTAGACACTGCAGGTGTGCAATGACACAGCTGGTGTGGCCTGGCGCCCCAACACCCAGAAGCCTCTTTTCTAAGCTCAGTCATTACCTGCTCCTTTGTCTCAATGAGATCTTTTTCTAACTGTCCCATTCTCAAGAAACCTTCCGGTTAGGGGCTGAATCATGTCTGCCCCCACCCACCCACCCACACACAAACCCTATGCTGCCATCTGAATCCCCAAAATGTGACCATATGGGGAAAAAGGGCCCCCACGCGTCATCAGACAATGCAGTCACGCCGTCCCAGGCGGGCCCCAAGCCCAGTCTGGCTCGCGGTGCAAAGGCAGGGGGGCCGCGCCCCGTGGTGTGGCCAAGGGTGGCCCACGGCTGCTGCGAGCCAGGCAGCAGCCGCCCTCACGGCTTCAGCTTCGGAAGGCCTCAGCCCTGTCCACGCTCTCTGCTGAGTCCTAGCCTGTGTAAGTGCTGCCGCCGTCCCCTCTCTCTCAGCCTTAGGGAACCAGCGCGCTCCCCGACGGCAGAGCAGCCGCGGCAAGCAGCACCCCCTCCCGCAGGGCCTTCACTGGGCACGAGTCATGATGTGATCCACCGCAGGATTTACCTGGCAGTGATGAGGGCGAGACTTTGGCATGTGCCGCCGTGACACCCGCACCTAGAATAGGTGCCGGTGAAGTGCAGGTATTCAGCAAACCTTCACTACACGAGAGGCTGAAAGCAGCAGCTTTGCCAGTGACTGCGCCTGCTGATCAGTGCCAAGGTCCCCAACGCCCTGGTGTGGGGCCTGGGCACTGGGCAACTGGGGAAGCTGCCTGGCATTGGGGTTAAGTGCCCAGAGTCAGGATGGCCACTTTGAACCCTGGCCTCGGCTCTCCTACCTACCTCTGTGGCCTCAGCGGGCCTGTCACCACTCTAAACATCAGCTTCTTCGAGCCTAAAGCGGGGATCGGGTCTCCTGCGCTGAGGTGCGGCCAGCCGGAGTCAGTACAGAAGGGCCGGGCCGCTCTGAGGCTTCGGCCAGTGCTGGCCCTGTGACTCAGGGCCTGTGCACACACCTGCCCCCACCAGGGCTATTGTGGGGAGCGGGGAGGCCCTCACTCCTGACTCAAGACACTCAGACCAAGGAGGGCACAGTGAGCACCCTAAGAGTGAGGGCTTCAGAGACCGAGGCCCAGGCCAGGACACAGACAAGCCTCTGGAGGGGCCTGCCTGTGGCGAAGAAGTGGGGCTTGGACCCTGGGGACAAGCTCACGCTTCCACAGCAGGCTGGGCCACCAAGGCCCCACCAGTACCTCCATCCTTGCTTCCTGCCCTGCCTCAGCATGATGAATGCCTCCTCCTTTTCCAGACATCAACTACAACTTCTGGGAAACCCCCACGCTTCCCGCGTGTTGAAGCCCACCGGTATAGACTTGCAAACGCACCCAGGTACAGTCAGGGCTAACGCAGGGCTTGGCGTCGAGCTACCGGAGGCAAGTCCTGGGCCACAGAACCACAGCACCTGGCAGAGGGCCTCACCTTCATACATATTTGATGACGAAGCAAGATAATTCCTAAGAGGCTGGGAGCTTTGGGTCAAAAATAACCCACCTAGGGCCGGGGGAGAGGGGCAAAGGCAGGCGGCCGGAGGACTCTGGCAGTGTGGAGCTCAGGGGCAAGCTGACCCACCAGGGTGTGTGGGTGAGGTGTGGTGGGCAGTGGCGACCTGGCCGTTCCAGGAAGCCAGGACACAGGTCTGGCCCGCGGCAGAGGGAGGAGGCATATTCTAAAGGAAGGCACAGCAGGAAGCAAAGGCACCAGACTGTCCAAGGTCCTAAGAGCCTAAGACTCGGGGAAGCGGTGGGGGTGGGGAGGGGTGTCGGCCTGGGGCCAAGAGAAGAACAAGGGGAGGGAGAGTGGTCGGAGGGCAGAGCAAGCATCTGGCGCACCCCGGAGGACGGGCCCCAAAGCCCCTCCTGGAGCTGGCTGGCCACTAGCGGCGGCCTTTCTGCCCACGCGCGCCCTGCAGCTGTGTGGGCCCCCTGCCTTCAGCCACGTGTGCCAGCCCAGTACCTGTGCTATCTGTCTCTGCCACACGCGTCTCTTTTGATGCGCACGCACACGCACTGGCACGCACGGGAAAGGAATTTATTTTTACTGTGCTGCACATACCTGGTGCCAACAGACATCTGCCCGTGGCGGGCAGGGAGGGCAGGAGGGACGAGGCTGCCACCAGCGCACTGGGCCCGGAACAAGCAGGAGGGCACACGCGGCCACGACACTCCCCTGGGCAGCCGCCCGAGGACGGAACACGCCGCCGAAGAGCCCTGCGGAGCGCGGCCTGCGGCCGAGCAGGCTGCCACGGCCGGCCGCCGCGTGGGCAGACAGGAGGGCCCGCAGGCCCTGAGGCGCAGCGGGAGCCCACGGCCCTCCACAGGGACGGTGAGGGCGGTGCGGGTGGTGGTCGCCATTGGCATGGGGGTGCCGCAGATGACCGGGGCGCAGGAGTGAAGCGGCGGCGAGCACAGCTCTTTACCTTAATGGTTTTGGACTGGAGCCGCAGGCCATTCAGCGTGTTTATCGCTCTCTCCGCGTCCTTCGCAGTCACGTAGTTCACAAAGCCGTAGCCCAAGCTGTGTCCTGGCGGAGAACAGGAGAGCGCGGTAAGACGGCGGACGGGATAGCCGGGGGGACGGGCCTGTGCCAGGAAGGCAGCAGAGCCAGGGCGAGGAGGGAAGCAGGAGGTGCTGGCCACGGCTCCGGAGGCCAGGGACAGTGGCACGACGATGTCTGTGCTGCCCTTTCTGCAGAGAACTGCTACTTCTGGTCAAGAAAAAGGTATTAAGACGCAAACAAGCCACTGTTGCTGGCCACACGCTGCGGAGGCACGCAGGCTTGCTGGCTCTGGCGCTCCCCAGCGTCAGTGCCCGTCCCTTCCCCAAACCCCGAGACCTCGCAAAAGCGAGCACGGGGAGGTCCCTGCCCTGGAGCGGAGTGCAGCCAGTTTTCTAGTTTTCTAGAGACTGCCTCGGCGCGCCAACAGCTCAAGATTGGGGGAGCTGTAGGGGCACAAACCTGACTTCTTCCCACAGAAACCCAGGGTCAGAGGCGTGGTGTTCGGCCCCTTCCGCAGTGGCAGAAGCAACTGTCGACCGGCTCCTCTGGGGAGGCGGCACACGACGGGCGGGCGGGGACAAGCAGGCCCTGGTCTTGCGCCTTCAGCTCTACGTGCCTCCCCCTGGCTTGCAGGCGTGGCCCCCACCCCGCCCCGTGCACACCACTGCCTGCCAGCACCACCCCCACTGCGACCATCCGGGACCCGTGGGCGCTGCCCAGGCCCATGACGCGGTTCCAGGAGCTCTCCACAGCACTGGGCACTTGTCCCCTTGAAACCCCCCCGGAAGCCAAAGAGCAGCAGGTTCTCCCTCCAGTGGCCCTCCCTCAGGCTGCTGGTCCTCTCCACTACTCAGGATGGTGCCCAGGTTCCGCCGTAGGCCCCTTCTGTCACACTCTGGCAGGTGACCGCCCATGTACTCGCACTGGCAATGTCACCTCGGAACTCTTCCCCCAATGGCCACTGCCTCCGCCCCTCCGCATCCTGCTCCTCTCCCAGTTCTCGCTGGGCCAACATGTAGGAGCTGAGCACCTACTGTGCGTCGTGCTCATCAGGGTGCCTGGTGATCATGCAAGGGGACAGTTGACGTGTTAATGGAACGTCCCAGTGGACACGGTGAACCAGCAGCGAGAACAAGCGTCAGTGCCACCAGGCACTATGAAGAGCATGGCTGGAGGTGCCCTACAGACAGGGCAGCCAGGAGTGCCCTGAGGGAGACGCCAGGTGGCTGGAGTCAGGTGTGCACACAGAAGTGCAAGCACCACTCTGAGGCAGAGCGGACGCTGTTTCAGGAAGCCGAAGCCCACTAGTGAGGACAAGCAGAAGGAGCCAGGGCTGGGCAGAGGGCTGCTGGGTCCAGCGTGAACTCAGTGGGGAAGACGCTGGGGCCGAGCCCTCAGTGGGGAAGAAGCCTGGGGCCGGACCAGGCGTGCCAGAAGGGCAGCGTGCCACAAGGGTAGGGGCAGCAGAGGGAGATCCACCAACAGGACCTGGAGAAGGGGGCAGCCCCTAGGGAGGCAAGACCCCTGGCACTGTGCCCAGGATGGGTATTCTGGGCCTGGTGGGAAGGGCTCTCTGGATAACCTTGCTCAGGGCTGTGCCCTTAGGCCTCGCCCACCCTGGATGGACACCCCAGGGCAACAGGAGGGAAGGCAGCGAGGCAGGAAGGGAGCCCTTCCTTTGGCCATCGGAGAAGGCGACAGACCAATGTACTCAACCCAGCGAGCACCACTCCCACCCTCCTTTCCCCACCACTCCCAACTCTGCAGAATCACCAGGGCAACCTCTAAACTACCAGTCCATTAAATCCCAGGGAAGGCAGGGCAAGAATGGGCAAGGTTTCTGTGGGGTGGAAAGCTCCCCCTATAACAGCCAAGGCTGGAGCTGCTGCTGGGCCTCATGAGGACAGCAGACGCAGAGATGCCTGGGGGAGGGGGACCTCGCTCCCCAGAGCAGCCCCGAAGGACCGCTCCCCAAGCAGGGTCCACCAGCTCTTGCTTCCCTCCCCCAACGCCTACCGCAAGGCCGGAAGTTCTGGCTTTCGGATGTGTGTGGCCCGCAAGCCCCCTCCAGGAGGGTCCCACGCAGGCGGATGGCCAAACTCCCCAGCGGCAGAGGCTGACGCAGCGGGCGTGGGTGGCGGGCTTTGCTCCTCTCAGTGCCCCGCGCTGCTGCTGATGAGGGTTGACCAGAGCCAGCCCCCCAAGAAAGCCCTGACTGTCCCTACCTGGAGGGCTCTCTGTGACTGGGAAGAACTCACTGGTCAGGGCACTCACCCTGCTGGTCACATTTCTCTTTTTCATTAGACAAGGACTCAGACAAGGCATGATTTTCCAGTGCCTCATCTCATGCCCAGACCAGTGGCCAGCCGTCATGCGCTGACCCTTCGACACTTGTCAAACTGACCTAGGGGCCGCAGCTCGTATGGGAGAGGGTAGCTACTGACAAGTGTTTTCACCTGGGGAGACAGAGTGAGTTTCGGGCTGGGGAAATGAGTGATTTATTTAGCAATAAGTAAGTAACAGCAAAAGAAAGAGAACGGGAAAGAACAAGAAGGTTATTTTATGAAACAACAAACAGCCAGCAAACAGGGGAAAACACATGTACCGCACCAGAAACTGCATGGCCCCCACAACCTGGAGTCCCTAGGCCGGCAGAAGGTGAGCGACCCTGCCAGGTCTGGGCAACAGCAGGCAGGGAGCGCGACGTGGAGATCCCGAGAGCCAGCTGTCAGCAGGGCCAGGAGTTTTTACACACCGCCCGCCCAGGGCGGCCGTCTACGGAAATAACCAGAGAGCACAGATTCGTGCTGGGATGCCTGGCTCAGAGACGTCTGAGGGGCAGAGGAATGATGACAACTTATGCTGGGCTCAGCACTTCCACGACCCGGGTACTGGGAAGCGCCAGAAGACAGTCATGCGCAGTGACGAAAAACGCATGTGGAGAGACGGAAAAGCCCCTGGACGGTGGGTGGCAGAGTCCACATGTGTCAAAGCACATGGGGTGACAAGAAGCATGGAGAGGACCAGGCTGGGGGTGGCGCCACGGCCGGTAGCGGCGCGCGACTGAAAGGTCCCCAGCTTGCTCACGTTAAATGTCCTTCTGTAAGGCACAAAAATGACTCCTGCTAAGGAAAGCAAGCGGCCAGGCCAGGTGTGGAAGAGTATGCCCACAGCGAAGCCTCGAGTCCCCAGGGTACCTCAGCGCCTCGGGCCAGGCGTAAGCGCGAGAAGCGATGGCTAAGACTTGGGCCAGACCCCAGAGCCCTGGGAGCCAGAGCGTGGGCCTTACTCTGACCAGGGGCATGGCAACGCGCGCTGAATGTAGAGGCCGGTGGCCGAGGGCCAAGGGGCTGGCATGCCACACAGTGCAGTAGGTTGGGGGTGCTGCCTGGCCCACCAAGGGTCGTATGGCACCTGCAAAGGGACCAGACGCCAGGACCCATCAGAGGACTGGGTCACATGGCGAGGTTAACTAGTGATGGCGGTTGCTTGAATCAGCGCAGGACCCAGCACAGAGGCCTGGCCAGTCAGAAACACCCTGAATCCGGAGACCCGCACCCGAGACTGCTGGCACCCCAGCCGCTCCCGCCCCGGCGGCGCTCACTGAGGACTGCCGCGTGAAGACCATCAGCTCAGCCTTCTCCCGCCTGGGCTCACAGACTCCTCACGTGGAAGCGCCGGTGGAGGCCATCTCCAGGCACAGAGTCCTAACAGGGCCCTGCCCCTGGCTTACACGGACCTCTGGACAAGAAAGTTCCAACTTCAGCGCAGTGTGAGAAACCCACGCTGAGAAAAGAGGTGGCACAGTGACTAGTCGCACATCTGAAGAGCTGCCAGAAGGAAGACCGCGTCAGCGGGTCCCTAGCTCATGCGACAAGCACTGCGTTTCTGACACAGCTGACGCGGAACACCGTCTCAGCACACGCTGAGCAGCCTGCCGTTTGGCTGCGCTGACAGCGAGCCTGGTTCTCTCGGGCTCTGCCATCCGCGCTGGCCTTCGGGTTCTTGGCAGACCCAAGCCCTGGAGGGTTCCGGCGTGAGCAGCACCACAGGCCCGAAACCTGAAAGCGATCGTGTTTCAGCGGCTGCCATGTGGGGAGTAACTGAGAAGTGAACCTGGTCAGCTACGTGGCAGGAGAGAAGTGATTTCCGAATTACACTTCTGCTTTTATCAGTTCTCACAATCAGTTCTCTCTGGACCGATATGGCCACATGGAGATGACCTCGTTAAAACAGCTCACATGAACACGACTCACATGCCCCGAAGAGCTCAATAAGTGAGCAGACAAAGAAGTTAGGTATATCTGAAAACCAGGCAGCCGTGCTCAGTAGTAATGAGGCTGAAAATTTCCTTCAAAGGAGAAAGGCAGACTTGTTAGCAGCCATGAGAATTCCAAAACCCCTCTCAACTAGAAAGCAGGAGATAGCAGTTTCTAGAATGTTCCAACACTTCCGATTTAGTATAGCATCTAAAGTTCCCCTTTATAAGACACTTATTAACTCCCATGCTCAGAATTAGAAGGGCACTTCAAAGACGCTCACTTCAGTCCTCTCCCCCCCATCCCATCAGTGCCGTACAGCAGTCAGCTGGCCTCTTTAGGAGTGTCATCCCGGGGACAGGTGACATCACGATGCTGGCAAATGTAGGGAGTCAGCAAAGCATGACGATGGGTACACAGGGTTCACTAGATTACAGTTTTATGTAAACTGGAATAAAGCATTATTTTATTTCCATAACAAAAATGAGTTTTTACTTTTACTTTCTGTGTAGGGAATCATAGTCCCACAACCCAGGCCGGCAACCAGAGCCCTCTGGGGAGGACAGCCACAGACAGGAGGGGGGAGAGGATGGTCAGGGAAGCAGAGGCAGAGGCAAGTGCTCTTCAAAACAATGCTCCGACCTGGGGAGCAGGTGCTCCCTAGCACCTGGTTGTTCCAGTCTTTTTCGAGTCTTTGCAACCACGCTCTCAGAATGGAGGCTGCTCTAAGGAGAACCCCCAGGGACTGGGCCTTCTGCCAACCTTTACGGGGTGGGTGTCCTCAAGATAAAAGAGCCACTATTGTGACTGTGTGGGTGGAGACACTGGGGATGCGAGGTGGACTGTGAGGGAGAGGCAAGCAGGGCTCTCAGAGGGTCTGCCAACCCCTCGGCCTGCCAGGTGATCTGCCTGTTTCCACCCCCCGCCCAGAGTTGACTGTTTCAGATGTTCAAGCCAATGGCAAATAGACAGCTGGCCCTAACCTAACGAAGGGTTGCCTCAAGGGACATGGCCCTGTGCTCTGTCTTGAACCTGAGAGCGCAGAGGCCTGGAAGGAAAAGGATGGGTCTGTCTGGGCCTGCTCTGGGCAGGGTGCTGGCCAAGAGTCCCTTCCACAGGCTGGGCCAAATCCAGGCCAGGCCGTCATTTTTTGGTCCCTTCTAGCTATCAGAGCAGTCTCCACTTCTGGAGTCTCATGAAGGATTTTCCCCTTCTGGGAACCCAAGTTCAATATGATACCAGGGCAGTAGCAAACAGCCTGAGGTAAGAAGGCAACGTCACAGCATCACTCCAGACTCTGACTCTCCTGCGCCGAGAGGAGTCACACTGTGGGGTCACAGGCAGAGGAAAGGGCACAGCGGGACAGTCATCAGTACCCTGTACGAACGTCTTGCTTTCTTTACCTGCTACTTTATCCCGAATAAGTTTTGCAGATTCAACTTCACCAATACTGCTAAACAGACTTCGTAACTCATCCTGGGTCATATTCTGAGGGAGGTAGTTGACAATTAAATTCGTTCTCCCGATATCATCCCTGCAGTCTTCGGCCATGTGGTCTTCATAACCATTAGACATTGTATTTTTTTAATACTCTGCAGAGGAAAAAAAAAAATCAAGAAAACGTTCATACTGCAGAACAACTGCACTTGCACATAAAGACATTTTTCTTTTCAACACAGTATGTTCACCTTCCGCCTGCACAAAACTCTGCACCTGCATGTTTACAGCAGCTCTGCTCAGAACTGCCCGAGCAACCAAGGTGTCCTTCAGCAGGCGAGTAACAGCCAAATTCTAGGCGTCTGAGGCAGCCACACCATGGACCACATAACTGTGCGCTAAATCGAAATGCGGTATGAAGCTGTGACGCCACGAAGGCCCAAAGGGCACGTGACGAAGTGAAGGAGTCATGGCTGCATGTCACAGGGCCCCGGGACGACATCCGGGTAAAGGCACAACTATCAAGAGAGACAGCAAAAGGATCCATTGTGACCAGGAGCGGGATGGGGGGCAGATGAAGAGGTGGAACATGGGCTTTCTAGGTCAGGGAAACAACTCTGTGATACTCTAACAGTGGCACATTTGCCAAAACTCACAGAGTATGTAACAAGAGCAAATTAAAGCAAGCTACTGGCCTCAGCTAGCAGTGTCCACACTGGTCCATTAGTATATGCAACAAAGCACCACTCTAATGTAAGATGCCAGTATAAAGGAAAGTTTGTGTCGGGAAAGGAGTGTATATATACTTCCTTCCCAGACTTTTTGTGAACCTAAAATTGCTCTAAAAGACAAAGAGAAGGCACCTCCAAGTACAGCCATTTCCTTTTACTAAGAGGGCTTTGAAAGGGAAGCAGTTCCAGCATCCTATTCAGATCACCCTAGACAGATCCAGGGTTGTCCTGTCTCAGAATTTTGGATTGCGCTCTCTGGTTGACATGTGATGCTTTCTTGGGTTGGCACTGCTGATGCAGCTAGAGACTGGGGAACAGGTGCCCTGAGCACCCCAACCCAGACATCCCCTCTGTCTTCAAAAAGGCAGGCAACAGCTTTACAGCCCTTTATGTCTCAAAGGCCACAGCAACTGAGTCAGGAAGTAGATTAGGATTTCTCTACCCATGAGAAGAACTTGGACTTCGTAGTTTGCAGGCTTTGGAATACCTTAGCTGCTATAAAAGTCTTTGGTTTCTGCACAGAGATGGTTTCAGAGTGGGGTCCAGAGCAACAGAGCTTTGTGCCGAAAGCACAACTCACTCTGGCTTTGCTGACAGCGCCGCCTAATCCAAGAGGTGGCAGGTCTCTGCCTCTAAAGACACAGGCAGCCCCCACCCTGGTTGAAGGGTCATCCCTGAGAGAGAGGTTCCTTCTGCCTGGTGGGCCTTTGGGGACGGCCCACCCATCTCTCCACATTCCCTATGCCAAGCTCTGCTTTTATGCTTGCAAATGCAGGGTCTTCAGGAGCCTCAGTCTTCTTTAAAAACAGCCTCACCTGTGGTTACATAAAACCTGAGCACACAGGGGCTTCCCGCCCACTCCGAGAATCGACAGTGAGAGGAAGTAAGTATAGTTCCTTGTTTCCTAGTAGAAATACTCATGTTTTTCTCCCTTTCTACTCTCTTGTTTCGGACCATACCCTATGTACAAAATTCACTCAATTTCCCGGCATTTCTTTTTTTTTTTTTGGAAAACGCTCTATGCTTCCTTCTCCAAAAGCTGTAAAAAAAAAAAAAAAGATTGGGGTGGCCCTCCCTGGTGGCGCAGCGGGTTAAAGCACTGCACTGAGAAGCTAAAGCCACTTCCACATGAGTTCGATTCCCGCCTGCCCCGGAGGTGACCACATGGCGTGGCAGACCTCTCCTGACCCGCCCGCTGCTCCCCTCAGCAGTGTACTTCGTAGATCTGCCTGTTCTGCTCCCCACTCTGTCTCTGGTAAAGCCTCTCACCACCCCTGAGCCTTTGGCCTGTACCCCAGTTCTGTATGTACAAATAAATAAATCTTTAAAAAAAAAAAACTTAAAAAAAAAAAAAGATTGGGAAGTTATAGACTTGACTTCACAACACTGAGAAGCTGCTTAAGGCCAAAGACATCATAAACAGATGCAAGAGACTGGGAGAAATGACTTGCTCCCTGCCCCATTAGTTAGGTCGGGGAGCTTGTCCTGCGTGACTTTGTGCGGAGACACTTCTGAGTTTCCGTCTCAGGGTGGGAGTGTGAGCTGGCATCTTGCGATGGAGGCTGCTCCACGTCCACGCGTGAGGACATCCCTCCACACTGAGAGTGACCTAGTCCAAACTGTCCAACCCAGCTGCGGCTGAGCAAACTTGATTTGGAGCATCTACCGTTCATAAAAAACAGCATCTCTCTAGGAGGAAAGTGGACACGTGGCTGCGCCAAATGGCAATCTGCCCCGAAGACCTGAGCTTCACAAATGTGACAGGAGTGCAGGCTGAAGAGGGGCTCCTTTATCCCTACCGGGTGAAATCCCACCCAGGAGGGGCGAAGTGGGTATAAGGAGAGGGGAAAACACCCTCCCGCACCACTGATACAAGCGTGGCATGGCACAGACTTCTTGCAGAACTTGGTGGTGCCCACCAAGATTTTACTGTGACTGCTACCCTCAACTCAGAACTTCAGGAATTGGTCTACAGATACAATCGCACATGTGTTTTGGGGGAATGTGGTTAGTAAAACAGGGGCTATAATTTAAATAAGCATTGATGAGAGCCAGTAAATAAGTATCAATTTTCAGTCCAAGGTGTGGCACTGCCAATTTTAATGGGTTTAATCGTGAAAATGTTCGCGAGTTTGTTAAACCATCTGTGGTAAGGACACTGTAAACAGATCATCAGCTCAAAAACAAACATTTGCTGAAACCCGAGCCAAAGTGCAAGGGTTAACTTCACACTGAAGTTCCCTCAAAATGTGACTCAAACATTTGCCTTCTTCCTCTCGCCTCTTTCTCCCTCTCCTCTCACGCTTCTCCCGAGTTCCACACAGGCGCTCTGTCCTCTCCTCGAGCCTGCTTTCATGGATGATGAACTGGGTAATAATTACTCCCTTCTCACTACCGAGGATGAGGGGTTTTCCATGCCTTTCAATAAGTTAACTTCCTAAAGGCTGGCAAAGTACGGCCTGTGGGCAAATCTGGGCCACTGAGTTTATAAAGTTTTACTGGCTCCCAGCGACTGTTTGTTTACGCATGGTCTGTGCCTGCTTCTTTCTGCACCAGAGTGGCAAAGCTGATCGTTGTGACAGAGACCATACGGCCCACCAAGCTGAAGATATTTACCATCTGGCTCTTTATGAGGAAAAGTGTTCCGACCTCTGTTCTAAAATGTAAAACTGAGAATTTCCAGTAGAAAATCTCCATAGCACTGGGTGAGGCAAAGAATGCCCAGGTACTTCACCAGAAGTCCAACCTCTTTTCAAAGAAATTGATAAATTTTGGTGACTTACCAAAATTTAAAACTTTTGTTCTGTTACAGTTCCAGTTAGGGAAAATTATAACCCACAAAATGGAAGAAAATATTTGCAGATTATTAGAAAAAGAATTTGCATCCTGTACACATGTATTTCTACACTCTCAAAACTTATAAGAAGAAAACAAGCGAGTGTAAGGTTTGAATGACACTGCACCAAGTAAGTAAGTAAATACATACATGCAAAATTAAATAAACACATCAACAAGTAACACTTGAAATGAGACGACTCCAACGCCACTAGTAAGGAAGCGCAAATCAAAGCCACAGGGACATGCGGACGCGCGTTCAGAGTGGCTCTAACAAAACAGAACGCCACTGCGCTGCCGCCACCAAAAAAGACAGGGAGATGGCCGGGGGTGCAGAGCCCCGGGGCCGCGGCGTGTGCTGGCGGCGACTCTGGAAACGGACTGGCAGCTTCTGACAGTCACACACACTTGCCATGAGAATTCCTGCTCACACAAAAACCGAGACACAGGGTCCTCGCACCCCTCTTCATGTCCTTCCAGCTTTTACTGGCTGAGCCAGGGCCCGCCACACAGTGGAATACCAGCCGGCAGGACAACCTCTGCTGTTCCCGCCATTTGTCTGCGGCTCAGATATAGCAAGTCTTCGGATAATCGTTTTATTATAACATTGCTGAGCAGAAACGTTACCCGGCTGGGGTCACTGCCTGTGAGGTGCCTGCACATTCCCTCCACTTGTGTGGCGGTTCTCTGGGTATTCTGGTTGCACATTCCCATGATGCGCACGTGAGGTTCACTGGTGTCGGGAGGGAGGGGTGTGTGGGAGGGGTGGGAGGCAGGCACCCTTCCAGGGTTAGTTCCTGCTGAGCCCTGAGCTCTGGCCTGGGCTTCCGCCACCTGCAACCCACCCTAGAGTCAGCAGGCTGGAAAATGAAGGAATACAAACAATTGTTCAATGTTACAATTTTGGGTATCTATTTAGGAGTCTGGTGGTTATTTCTGTGACCAGAAACATTCAGTAAGATAAACTAAACTGGTAAACTTGATTTCATTATCTGTCATTTCATTAAAGTTGCAGTTTCCAAAAGTCTATTGATGATGTTAAGTGAGTTACTGTACATTTTGCGAAAGGGAAAAAAAGACGCAGCAACTGTGTGATTTGTGCATGATTCCACTTATATGACATTCTGGAAAAGGCAAAACTCTAGAGATGGATCAGCAGTCACCAGGGTAGGCACACAGGAGGGGGAGGGCTTATTACTCAGAGGGAGCATGAGGGAATACTTGTGTTCTTGGGTGATGGAACTTTCTGGTACCTTGACTGAAGTGGTGGTCCAAAGACTTTAGGCATGGATCAAAACTCAGTGCACTCAGCTCTCCCTGGTGGCGCAACAAGTTAAAGCACCACATTATGAAGCTCTCTGAAGCCACTGCAGCACGAGTTCGATCCCCAGCCAGGGAGTGACCCACAGGGCCCAGCAGATCTCTCCTGCCTCCCCACTGCTCCCCTCAGCAGTATATTTTGTCCACCTGCCTGTTCTGCTCCCCACTCTGTTTCTGGTGAATCCTCTCATCCACCACACTTCTGGCCTGCAACCCAGTTCTGTAAGCATAAATAAATAAATCTTTAAAGAAACAAAAACA